CTGTACTCAAGTGGGTGGCCAAGAAGAAATTCCTGGTTCTCAGATTTGGATCAGCGTAACTCTGGCCATTATGGCCATTTGGGCAGTGTACCAGAGAATAGAAGTCTCTCTCTTCTCTCTCTCTCTCTCTCTCTCTCTCTCTCTCTTTCTCTGTAATTGTGAGTTTTAGGTAACATAAATAAATCTTAAAGATGCATTCATATCTATGACAGTTTTGCATTTCTGGTTGTATTTTTGGGCATATTGGCAAATTAATTGAATGAATGAGAGATACTGCCAAGCTAGGTTAGTTTATAAATGATTTGAACTTGATAGTTAAGAGAGGTATTCAAAAAGTTTTTGGAAAAATGCATTTTGTAAAAAAGTCTGTATATCAATTTAGAACAACATTTTCACAAAAATAAACTCATTTCTTTAATTCTACTTTTCTGCAAATAAAAGTATGCTTGTATGTGACACGTTAAAAAATGCTGTTAACTCTGAAATAAGAGTCACAATTTGAAAGCGGTTCTATGCTTTTCAAAAATAAAATCCAGATGAGCTATTTAGTTTGTGGCATAGATGCACTGCAAAACAAATAGCTGAAATATTTCAGATGCTGAGCAAATTTTGATTTTAAAAAATATTTGGCAAGAGGCTAGAAAGTTATGTGACTAAACCTGGAACTCTGGGACCTTGGTGTTCCCCTGGCATGAACAAACATAGACAAATCACACTGCCTCATAGATTTAAGTTTGTCTATGTGAATATGAAAAAATGTGTATCCATGAAATCCTATTTACCCCAATCTACACTTTTGTTGTGTTTTGGCCAGGAGTAAGTGTATTGGATTATTTGTAACATGAACTTTGAAGCAAGACAACCTGGGCTTGAATCTTAGTCCACTACTTGTACTACATTAAGGCTGTGGAAGTTACTAACCTCACTATGCCTCAGTTTCTGTGTCCATAGAATGGGCATAATAGCACATTCTATCTTGAGTTAAAGTGAAAGGTGAATAAGTTTGCATACGTCAAGTTCTAAAACCATAGCTGACACGAAAGAAATGCCTGGAATGGGGTATGTTTATTCTGTAAGAGTGCTACAGTTGACTTTCACTGCTACTCAGTGGCTTTTGGGAGTGATCACAGATTTTCTATTTAGACTAATTATCTGAGGTTCTGGGGAGGGAGACTTAGAATAGCATGTGCAGTTGTATTTACAACCCCAGGGGAACAATAAGGCAGAAGTGAAGCTACAGCTTATCAGCCTATCGGAATGTATTCCCACTCCCACTGCTTTCCTTCTGTCCACCACAAAGGAAACAGCCTCCTGACAGATTTCAAGGTGGAAGTAGCAGAGCCCCCACTTCCCTCCCTCTAAAGAGTAAGTTGACATGCTTGGATTTCCTGATACAAGTAATACCTGATGATGTGCGTAGTGGTTATGAAGCTGTGTTCCTTCTGCTCCCAGCTTTCTTTCCTAACTTTGTGACTTTATGGAAACTTATTTACCCTTTCTGTGCCTTTATTTTCTCTCCACACAATGAGAATAATAATAGTTCCTGCTCCCTGGTGCCGCTGTGATGGTTAAATAGGATAATGTTAGGCAAAGTCCCAAGAAGATCTGCATATATGTTCAGTATATGGCAAATGTTGCAATTACTACATGACTGTATCAAGTAGAAAGGAACTTTGCTGTATGGCTGATCAATGATGCATGGGGGAAAAAATCATTGACCATACATAAGGACGAGTCATAACATTTATGGAAAATTGAATTTAATTTCGGTGCAAAATACTGAAACTTTTGTAATAACATTTTCTAATGAACTTTTAAAATATCTCCTGATATTCAGTTATCTCAAAAGTTCTCACAAAAGTAAACATCATTTAATTGTTTTTACATACAATTTTTGAAGTGCCCTGTAGTAGCAAACTAATTGTTTGAATCATTATTTTTGTAGACGTACAAATAGCTGTGCAGTGACTCACCCAGTTAAATAGTTGGCTCATGTTTACAGATGTTTCACACACTGGCTTAATAATACAAATAAAATGCAGTCTCAGAGTCGGAAAGAGCTCCAGTAGATTTCTAACCCAACCAGACCTCTCTTACATGTGTCTCTCTGGCTGCGTCCCAGGTGCTTAGCTAGTTTCAGTGCTCTAATGATGGAGAACATTTCCTTTTCGGGCAGTTGGATTTTGGATCTGTCCCACATGTGGTGGTCCATTCCATTGCAGGTAGCTATGCACAGCACATGGAGGACTGCAGAGGCTGTTCACTGAGATGCTTTTCTCATAGGATGGTATCTGTGCGGTTTGCTGGCATAAAAGTGGCAAATCTACTTTCCTCTACTGTGTTGCTGGATACCCTCCAGGAAAATTGCCATGTCAAAGCTGATTTCATGTTCTTAGACAACTGCTTTGTAAATGAGAAGATTAGAGAGAAACACATTGAGTATTGAAGCCTAACAGACAGGAACTTTGGAGTTGGAACATTTTAGTGCTAGAAAAGACCTGGGGAGTGAGCCTGGTTTTAGGAGTAATCTAAAAATGAGAAAACAGAGCCAGAGAGGATCCAGGGCTTGGCTACATGAGCTGGCCAATGTGAGTGTTCAGAGGAAGAGCCTTTCCAGTCTTCTCTGTCCAGTTCTGTAACATTGTGAGTAAAAATGTGAATGCCAGAGACAAGCTGCTTTGATTCATTCTTCACTCAACCTATTTTTGCAGGTGTGATCATCAGTCAGTTCTATACTTCTGTCTGCTTTAATTTCCAACTTGGAAAAAGAAAATAATGATAGTGATTTGGTGTGGATTAAATGCACTGAGTATTTGTTATCACTAGTCTTCCAAAGAACCATAGGAATGTCAACCATTAACCAAGCCAGACAGTAAATACTTTGATCAGATGACATTTAAAACATATTTTGTGAAATGTGGCTTTTTTTTCCCCCTTAATTTTTGGTTCAGAAACAACAATCTTCAGGATCCACCTGTAAATTAACAGTCGTATTTATCTCTGGAATTACTGTCTGAATAGAAGGAAGAAATGATTAAAATAATTAGGATCCTTTTATTTTTAGTTTCCAGTTCATGTTCAGCAGTTACTGTGGCCTACTCTATGAGGTGCGCATAGAGAGGGCTTGGATGCCAAAGAAAGCAGTCTGATGTGTCCCTTTCCCTCACGATGTACTCTGGTGGGCAGCTGGAATGACCGATAGTTAGTTCATGTCAGTGATGTCATGATAAGAGCAGGAGGCAACACTGCCCATGGGAAACAAAGAATGCTCTAGCAGTATATGAATGAAGTGCATTGGCCAATTTATGGAGTCAAGGAATGACTTTGAAAATAATGTGGGGACCAGCATTGTGGTGTAAGGGATAAAGGAATGTGGGCATCATATGTGAGTGCCATTTGCATCCTGGCTGCTTCAATTCCAATACAACTCCTTTCTAATGTGCCTGCAGTAGCACAGGAGGATGATTCAAGTCCTTGGGTCCCTGCTCCCAAGGAAGAAACTCTTGGTTTGTGGCTTCAGCCTGGCCAAGCCTTGGCCATTGTGACCATTTAGGAAGTGAGCTGGTGCTTAGAAGATCTCTCTCCATATACCCATCTATCTCTTGTTTCTTTCTGTTCCTCCTTCTCTCTCTTTGTAACTCTGCCTTTTCAATAAGCAAACGTTAAAAAGATGTGTAATGTAGTGTGAGACTTCAGTAATGAGCCGGAACTTTGACTATTTAGATGGGGACTGGAGAAAAATATTTCAGGCTCAGGGAAATGTGTGTAAGTGTTGGTGTGAGTGCTCAGGATTTAGAGAACATTGTGTCTTCACCAATTCCTTCAATATTTAATGAATTTTATTGAGCACCCTTGGTGTGCAATAGGTTTGAATTTGCACGGTGGGAAAGCATAAGTTCACGAAACAGAGAGTATGTTCATTTTTGTGGAAGTTATAATGGCTGACAAAGCAACAGACAGTAATTCCTTTAAAAAAGAGAATCTTAAACTTTGCTTTAATCTGTATAGAGTTGGAGAATATTATGCTAAATGAGATAAGCCAGACTCAGAAAGAAATGCATTGCATGATCTCACTTATACTTGGATGTGCAAAAATGTTAAATGTACAAAAATAAAGAATGAATCAGGGGTTTCCAGGAGTGAGATGGAGTGGAGGAGAATGATGGGATGTAAGAAGATGTATGTCCATCAGTACAAAATAGTAGACATGTGGGATGAACAAATCTGGCGATCTGAATGAAGACTATGGGCAATAAAACCATATTAGAATTTTTGTTAGATGAGCATATTTTAGCAGTTGCCGCCAAAAAAAAAAAAGGACTATGCAAGATGATAAGTATGTCATTTTGTGATGGCAAGAATTTTACAATTTATATGTATCCCATATCTTGCAAACCTCAAATGCACACAAACATATTAAAGCAACAAGGAAAGGAACATCTGAGTTGGGTTGTTTCATGCAGAGGAAGATTGAGAATATTTCTGGTAGAAGCGACTTAAAACACACGCCCAGTGAGTCTCCTCAAAAGGAGGAAGCTTTCTGCAAAGTGTAGTTGTAAGCATCTCTTCTCTGAAGTAGCACTTGGCTCTGTATGTTTTAACACATGAGGTGAGACTGGAAGCACATTTCCGCTGTCTTTGACTGGAGTTGCACGTGAGGCAACTGAACTAACTGATGAGTTTCCCGTTCCCACTGATGAGCATATTTAAGCCACATTACACATCAGTGGGGCTCGTTATGTTGATGCTGGGTGTCCCCATGGTTTCTCCTGGACTCTCGCCATTTATCTCTAATTACCTTCATGAGTTTTTATTTTCCCGTGTCATCTCTGTGGACTTCAATGTGTGTTCCAAAGTACTTTAAATTCTTTCTATCTGTTTCAAGCCTGCTTTGAGTCAGACTAATCGTACATGTTCTTTTCTTTGATACTCCCGCATTGTCTCTGTGTTAGAACTCATGTGGCTCGCAGGAGACTCCTAGTTCTTTCTGTTCGTCTCAGATAACGGCTTTGGGGAGGATGAAGAGCTGTCCACATCTGGCAGTGATGAGATCATCAAGCAATTTGAGATTTCTGTGTCCCGGTCCCAGAGTTTCTGTGCAGTGGCCTCTGAGAAGAGAAAGGAGACAAGATTGGAGCAGAAGCCAACATCCAGCCATTTTGTTTCTACCCATGAAGAAGGTAGCATCCGAGAGTCTGCTTGTGAAGGTATTTTGTGTGTGTCATATCCTTCTATCTAAATCAGGGGTGACCAATGCTAAGAATGTTTTAAGTCCCTTAACCACAGCAACTCTGCACCAGATTGTTCAGAAAGGAGAATAACATGAGACAAGCTGTCTCGGAGAAAGGATGTAAAAATGATGGCATGATATTTCTTGGTGTCTGCCCAGAGGCATGAAGAGACACAGGCATTGGAACAGGGAAGTTACACAACGTACTTGGGTAAAAGCTATCAACCATCTGCCTTCATGGGCTGGCGTTCTTTCCTCATGGGCATGTTGTCAGTCCAACCAGTAAGGGCTTGATCATAGATCTCCTTTGTTCTCAACATAGCACAGAGAAAAAAAAAACAGGTTGCAGAAACTGAGACAAGAGAGAAAAAATTTCAATTTGATAAAAAAAGAAACCAAGGACCAATGTTTATCATGAGGAATAACTTGCTATCTGGTTCTGTAGTTTGACTTACTGACATGGGCCAACATAACATGTTTATTGCCACCTTGGGCTACAACCACAATGCCTATGGCTGCTGAGCCGCTGTCATTTCCTCTGCAATTCTCTTGACTTTTCTTTCTCTGCTGTTACATCACAGCATTCCTTTCTCCATTGAGAGGGCAAATGTTAGCTAATGAAAGTTAATAATGGTTGATTCTCTAGGAGTCACTTGTTTAATTCTAAAGCTAATGGCCCCATTTCCCAGAACACCAAATGTCTGCTTTCTGATTTACACAAATGGCCAGTGTTCTGAGAGTTCTGACAACTATGCTAACCCCTACCTTCCTGGAATTATCAATAACTTACCCCTTGTCATGACTGGTAATTCTAAATTTCTGACAGGTAGTGATAGAACAGATTAATTTTTCTCTATGAAAGGAGGGAGCATGTCTACTGCACTGGTAGATTTAGAAGATCAACATTTTCTTAGGAATGTATGTTTTCCAACGTTTTGGTTACCAAATGCATTGGTAATATTGATGGAGTTTTTATTGCCTATTTTTTCCTTTCTGTGTCATTTCCTTTTGTTCATTTTTCAATCAGTGGGCCTGATTTAATGACAAAGAATAATGGAAAGATTAATCATATACTATAAAGGGACATTTTTTTTCTCAGCCCGTTTTCTATTGATTCAGTTATTTCATGTGCTGTAAACATGGCCTTTTAATATCACATAATTATAGATTATTATTCCCCTTTCAACAGTGCATTCAAAAGTCTTAGTGAATTTAGTGTCCAAAACGAATTAAAATGTGAACCACGAATGAACTATTGGCAAGTTGTCCTGTTTCATCTTAGGTGAGACCTGTAATTCTGGACACAGTGGTGAGATAGTTAATTCAGAAGCGTATTTCCAAGCAGGTTTTCTTCTACCCAGTTCTTTACGTTTAACGTTATTGCATATATATTTGTCAGAGCAGTCTCAACAGTTGTCTAAATGGTTGTGTGTAAGGTTTATAGGTGTAAAAGGTGAACTGCAAAATACCAGTCCATTTCTGGGACTAATCTTTTTTCTTGAGCGGTAGCCTTAATTTGGGCTTTAGAAGATTTTATTCCTAAAATAATCCAAAAAAGATAGATACTACTTCCCTGGTGTCATATCAAACAGCCAGTTTCCCCAGAATCTGTAGTCAGTTTGATTTAGAATGGTGCATTGATCATCGCTCAGTGAAATGGAATCAGTAGGAATATAAGTATGGCTATGCATGTATGTGTGTATGGGTGTAGGCATAGGTGTCTCAAAAGGCTTATTGCAAAAAAAAAAAAAACACCACCACCAAACCAGTTTATGTAATTGTCAATAGCTCTGTAATATATATATATATATATATATATATAGGAAGACTGGCTACAAGTTTCAGGTCGCAGCAGAAACTTCTATTCAGTGCATTTCTTTCTCCAGGGAAGTCTCAGTTCTGTTAAGATCTTTCAACTTACTGTTTATATATAGGGTGATCTCGTTTACTTTACTGATTATGGGTTTTAATCACAATTCCAGAAATACCTTTTTTTAAAAAAAAATCTTATTTGAAGTTGACAAGGATTGGGGCTAGCAAACACAGAGCTCCCCATCTGTTGCTTCAGTCCCCAAGAACCTTACTGCAGTGGCTCAGGCTAAGGCCAGCCCAAAGCCAGAACACAATTTGAGTCTCTTACAAGGGTATCAGGAACTCAACCATGTGACTCACCATCTGCTGCCTCCCAGGGTTCATGTTAGCAGGAATTCAGAACTGATTGTGACATTGTGATTCCACTCAGGCACTCCAGTGTGGGACGTGAGAATGCCAAGCAGCTTCTGTCCAATGCCCATAGCCATAAGGTACTTTCACAACAGTACCTGTATTAATGTGTGACTGACTGACACCTACTCCTAGCCTAGAAGATGTATAAAACCATCACAGATGATAAGCCAAAGTCTTTAAATGTATTGCTGGTGATGGGGAAGAAGAGTTGGGAATATGAAGTCACTGGGTGAAAGGATTTGTTACATCAAAGTCCGGTACATTTCTTTACTAACACAAATATAGTCTGTGTGACATACTATGCTTAAGAATCCAGAGTACACTTCTCTGATAATAAGCAGTTACTTCTGTGCTTATGTTTGAGATGGCATGATCTTCTCTCACACCAAGGCTTGTGAAAACTGTTTTATGTCAAGATGGATCACTTTTTCTCCTCCTTGCAACTTGATTTGGATTTCAGTCTGCATTTCTGCCTCATTCCCTGTGTGTCTGCCACAAAAAATGCTTTGTTATATTAATATAGTTCTTACATTTTTCAGTTATGAATAGCTTTTCAAGGCTTAATGTAGCTGTTGAAAATTCCCTTATTACTGATCTAGGTATTATCACCGTAGGAGTTAAAGCCATGAGACAATTTTATGGGGATAATTTCTTGGCAAAGTTAGATTTTGTGTTGAAATCCTGCTGGGTGCTACACATGTTGATGGAAGGCCCACTGCTTAATAGGACATTTTACTGTTCATATATGTGAGAAATGGGCGTGCTAATTAGAGGCTTGGAAGAAAATTTTGCTTTTTGTTGTAGATTTCTGCATGTGGAGTTTCCTTTATTCTGTCATTTTCTGTGGCCTTTTTATGTAGTATGTTTTCCAAATAGCTCGAAATGTGAATGTGAAAATGTTGTGGTGTTGCATGAAAGTGTTTCCAAGGGAACACATCTCAATTCGTAGCAATTCAGATGTGGGGACTTGTCAGTGATTGCTGTGCAATCCCAATTCAGGAGTCTGTAGTTGAGTTCTGAGAACAGTTCACCCTGAAGATATTTTTATGTGTCTTGCTTGGGGTGATGATGTGTTTTGTGAGACTGACTGCTGGTTATGGATGAGTTGTATATTCTCTAGTGAACCATTGTCACCATCCCTCTATGCTACTGCACAACTGGTTGCTTCAATGATTTTGTTACTAGCCTAGAAGTTAAAGTCACTTGATGCCTTTGTGAAAAGCCACCAGCAGACTCAGATGAGGCGGTGGATGTGTGTGGAGATTAGCTGAGGTTATAAAAGGTTAACAGTGGAAATGATTGCTTTGGACCATATGTACATGAAAACTGAATTCATGACAGACTGTCATCCTACTCATCTTAGCTATATCTCCATTTTTCTCACATCTTGGGGTGTCAGCTATTGGAAGCCAGAGAGATAAGGCACCCTTATCTGATCTTGCAGTGTGGGGACCAAAGCAAGGGGAAGATTATTGATTAGGAAGACCCCATTCACTTTTGTTACCTTGTGAGTGCAGTTTAGACATTGAGAGGAAAGGAGGGGTGTGACAAACTCTGTGTGTGTGTGTGTGTGTGTGTGTGTGTGTGTGTGTGTGTGTGTGTGTGTGTGTGTGATGGGGAGAAAAGAGAGCGAGGGTTGGGGAGAGAGAGAAAGAGAAAGAAAGGTGAAGGGGGAGGAGGAGGGGTAGACAACATTAAAGTCGGAGAAAATGCTGTTTGGAGACAGGAAGGGCTCTGAATTGTAGAAGCTTTGATGGATGGCGTGGAGGAGGTTTTAATACTACTTTGAACAGCAATGCAGAAGTACACTGTGAACAAAAATTCAGGAACCAGTGAAACCACAGGTGACAAGAAACAGTGGAAAATGGAATGTGATGAGTTAGAAGAGACGGTTTCAAACTGGAGACACAAACAAGGCTTATAATAATGGATGTCTGTCTACTGGGAGATAGGTGGTATTAATTTATGCAAACACAGTGACCCTCTTTTATCATGTTTGAGGTAAGAAATAAAAAGTTCCAAGAACTTGAAAAATATTAAAAGCAGAGAGAAGATTTAAATTCAGATAATTTTAATCCAAGTTCAGTGTTCTCCTCAGAGATCAAGTAAAGATCATTTGCTTTCATTTCAGATAGAAAGCAAGTAAGCACTTCCCATCCACTGGTCTACTCCACACCTGCCCATAACAGTGCAGAATGAGTTGTGCTGTACTGAAATGGGAAGCTGGGAACTCAATCCAGTTCTCCCACATGAGTGGCTGGGAACCAACTCACTTGAGCCATCACTGCTGCCTCCTAGGGTGTGCAATCAGAAGCAGAGCTATGAATCAAACCCAAACACTTCAATATGGGATGTAGGTATCTCTTCATCATTAGGTCAAATGCATGGCCATGTATGGAACTGTTTAATTGGGATAAGCCACTGAAGACTTTTGAGGAGAGAGTAAAACAGACAAAGAAAAGGAGAAAAGACAGGAGACTGTGTCATCTCTATATTACTAGTGTTTTTCTTTCTGTATCCATCCCTGAAGTCTAAGGGTCATTAACTAAAGTTTAATAGTAAGATTTTTATTTCTTCCTTCTCACATAAATATCCTTTCTTTGTGCTCATATTATCAGAAAGTATTAAATCTTCTTACACCCCACCTACAGAGCTAAGGTTCATTTCGGTTATATGGACCAAATGTATAAACCGTATAGATGGAGTCTTGCTTCTGCAGATGTTATTGGAGTTTTATTTTGTGGTCTTAATAATTGTAACTTCTCAGTTTCTCCAGGTAAAAAGTATAAGAAATAACACACTTGAAATTGTTTTCTTGTTGAAAATTTAGATTTGGATGGAGCCAGTCAAGTAAGTCACCATGAGAACCCGTCCTATGGTGAAGATCTCTCCATCACTGCCAGTGTACACTTCCCTTGTAAAAGAGAGGAAAACAGGCTCAATGGTGCATCTAACAAAAGCCCCAGTCACCAGTCCACGGAGGAGAGCTTGGAGACAGAGACAGCCTCCAATGGCCAGGGTCTGGAAGATCCTTACGCCACTGATAGCTCATCCATGTGGAGTCCGGAGGCAAGTGTTTGTTCACCATTCTGTCCTCACACTCCTGCTGCTTATCTCTTTCTCCCTTCAATTCCTCTGGCAAGGAAGCTTTGCCTTGGAAACCAAAGACCTAAAATTACTTTACTTAAAATACTTTTTGTTGTCTTGTTGTTGTTGTTCAAAAGTCCCTTGTGTGTCTATAAAAGAATCATAAACAGATAAGTTCCCTCAAAATGGAAAGAATGAAAGGAAGATGGGTAAGTGAAAAGGTAAAGACAAACAAGAATACTGACAGGACAGACTCAGCAACTCTCAGGCTTTTCTCCCATATAAAGTCTTTTCACTTGGTACATTTTATAAAAAAGGGATTGATCTTTGGTTCTTTAGGGAAATTGATGTATTTTCTTCCAAGTTTCATGCAAATGTTTATTTGTATTTGACACAAATCTTGAGTTACGATTTAAAAACTATTTTTAACATTATCATTTGAGAAATAGAGACAGAGACCTACATATAGAAGCACGTATACCTAAACAGAATGGAGGAAAGGGAGTGGAGGAAGCAGGATCGGGTAGTAGGTTGGGGAAGGAAGGCAGAGAGAGAGAGAAAGTAAGCCCATCCATTGGTTTACTCCTCAAATGTCCACAACTGCCACGCCTTAGCCTGGCTGAAACTGGAAGCCAGGAAGTCAGTCGTCTTCTTGTCTTCTTTCTGGATGGCAGGGAGCCTAACATTCGAGCCATTCGCGCATCCCAGTGTGATTTGGTAGGAAGGTAGGATTTGAACTCGGGTATTCCAGTATAGGTCAAAGGTATCTTAACTGGTACCTTCACAGCTAGGCTAGGTCAAAAGGCATATTTATAGTTTTTTGAAAACAATGATTTGAAATAACTAAAGCAAATGCTTCTCCCCCCCACCACACACATGAAGTTATACAACATATTATGATGAGGATTTTGTACTGTGAGACATGGAGATGACATGAATGTATCATCAGCCCCTGGCCACTGATAATGGATTTTTTTGCAATAACACTCTGATAAATTTCTTCTAAATTGCTTTTCCAGTGAAAACATAGCCTATCCTATTCCTAATCATGCAGAGGTAGGCCTTGTGATAATGATGCCAGATCTTACCATTCGTCGAGCAGTTACTCTGTGGCAGGCGCTATAATAACATTGCTTTCACTCACAGGCATTTATGGTTATTCTACATTTAAAATTATCCTACGTTTTATGATTTCATTGTGACCAATATCCATCTTGAAATTAAATTTGAGGAAATAAATCATGGATGGATATAATCATGGATTTATATAATCCATTGCAAGGATGCAGGAAGAACAGTGAATGGGCTTTGTTATAATCAGTCTGAAAAGAAGACCATAGAGGACTGGTCTTTTATTAGAATCCAGCTGGACTGCAACACACATGAAATGTTCAGGGACAAGGAATATATATCAGAAAAAAATGTCACAGTGTAAAGCTTACTGCTAATGCCCTTGGCTGAGTCTGGGGTCAGTAAGGCAGTGTATGAGTGGGTGGGCATCTGTGTGGGTGTTTCTGCTGAGAACCAGAAGTGGAAGCCTGGGTCTGTGAAAAGCAGCTGTTCATATAGACACCAGGCCTTATCAGCTTTGTTAAAAAAAAAATCGGCTTTCCCACTCATCCATCAAATCCCTCCCCATAACATTTTTAAAAGCAATATTTTTGGCTCCCTCACTATAAAAACTGAATGGAACTATTTACCTGCCTGTTGATGCTCTGTCTCCCTGATAATCGCGCCACGAGGCTGAGAACTGCCGTCTCTGTGTAACCTCCCACTTACCTGCCTCCTGGAGCTCAGAGTGCTTGCTGCAGAGGGTACTGAATGTTCCCAGACTCCAAAAATACCCAGACATCTCCGGGTGCTCCATTCAACCTCCTATCTATTTTGAGATGAAAACTGTAATTTGGTGCTCCTACACAAGATCTTGAGCTCCAACTCGGAGGCATTTCCCGTAACTGCCTGCTTTGCAGGCTAAGCTTGCCTTTTAAGAATTGATTTATCTGCCTCTTGGCTGTATTAAGAACCCTGTCTTCCCCCTGACTATCTGGCACTGGGGACATATTGTGGGTCTGTTTCCTTTGGGCCACACAAATGACATCAACACTATCTTACTGAAACAGCCTTTCAATTTGACAGAAAATCTTTAAACCTACGTGAGTTTTGACAATTTTCATGCAAGTGTTCCTGTCTTCAAGACAGACCCAGGATATTGAAGCTTGGGGAGTCATTCATCCTAACCTCAGAAGGAAGCTGGCCACACAGTGCAGACACTTGTTAGGCTGACAGGTTTTTCAAGGCTGCAGGCACAGGGCTTGGCAGGGGAGAGGACGGGAGGGTGGTATGAGAGTCTGAGCACTCTGGGAGGCAGGTGTCCCACTTTTCAACTCTACTTTCCACTGATTAATTGGTTGGCCTTGAGAAGTTAATTAAAATCTGCCAAATGGGGATAAGAATGAAGAGATTTCTACCTCACAGGAAGGTCAACAGGATTAACAGTACCCACATGAGGAGCTCCTTCGGTTGCCTGGTAATAGGTAATGTGTGTTGAAATAATTAATTGCTATGAAGATGCTAGCCTTCCCAAATCTTTGTCTCATATCAACCCCAGGAAGGGATAACAAAGCTTGGTGCTCGTGAGCTACAGCTTAGATGGACCTATCCAGAGTGTAGCTATTGCCTGGAGCCACACCTCTTTTAAAGCACTTGGGACAGTTACTAAAGAACTCTCCCTATGACCCCCCCTAGAACCCTGCCAGTGGAGTGCACATTTATTCAGTAGATAGAGAGTTCTCATTCTCTAGGATATTGAACTTGATAACAAAGGAGCTATCAATTACTAGTAAGAGCAAGAGTCTAAAGGGTATGAAACTCAAAGTAGTGTGTGCTTTCCATTCTCGATTTCCCTGTTCTGCCTTCATCTCATTTACTATATATACACTTTACATAACAATAATAAAAGGGTTTATGGAAGAAGGAAGGGGACCCCATGGCTCAGCATAAGGTTTGGATGTAGAGTACTTAATACTGGTTAAGGCAGGCGGTGGACTCAGATTGACAGATTATGGATTGTGGCTGAGAATCTAATCTTGACATGCAGAAAAGAGAGTGTTGGATTATTCAGCTCTACCAAGCTTTAATCACCTCCCCTACAAAATGAAGATACAATGTCCACTTAAAAAAAAAAAAGATCATATTTCTTAGGTTCCCCAAAGGAGCACAGCCCAATGTTGCACCCTACCATGAAAGGGAGGGCAATTCCAAGGAGCAAGATTGAGGGACAAGGGGAGTGAAGCAGAGAGAATGGAAGATTTAATATGAAAATGTGCGACTGCATTGGCTGCCATTTGTATGACTAATTGCTAGATCTCCTGGGGCTGTACTCCAAGAAGCTATAGAAAGTGATCTCAGGAATCTGTCCAAGGAGACAAAGCTTACTTAATGGGGCATTAACTTCTACACATGCTGGACTTTGCATACATAATGCCAGGCGGAGTTCTGTAGCTTTGTATTGCTTGGCATCAGCAGAGGCCAATCGAGCTGCGAATTATGTCATATGGGTGGGAGGTAAAACTATATTAGGTTATGCCAAGATGAAACCACTTAGAACTCAGATATGTTATGCCTGCCAGGGAAAGATGAAACCAGAAGTGCTGTTTTTTATAATCTATACAGAATGTGGTATAATACTTGGCATATGGAATGGTTTAATGAATGTTAGCTGTCATTACTTATGACCAGGCAAGCAGTAGAGATGATCAAGAATAGACTAAAATAGAATTTTAAGAAAAGAGAAGGGAGTTTTTTTTTTTTTTTAAGTTGGCCTAACTCCTTGGAGACTTGCTTCTAATATTACATATACACTACTTCGTTGTATTCAGAAATCTCTATAGCAACCACTTCTATCACTTGAAGCTAAGTATCTCTGAATAGAAACACTCACACGATTGCATGCTCAGAAAAAGGGATACCAGAGGCTTGTCAATTTTACGAGAATTCTAGATTTCCTTGGCAGGCTAATTTAAATCTCAAAAGCAAAGGGCATTTGCTAGATGTCTACTATATGTCAAGTTCCCTACTTTTCATAGCAACCCTGTATAATGGGTATCATTCCTGTTTTATTGCTAAGGAAAACAGAAAGTAGAAATGATTAAAAAAAAAAACTTTTCCATGGTCTAGAGCTACATTAAGATGTGTAATTCCAACTGTGTGCTTTCACCTGGAACTGTGGGAAAGTTTTACGATGAATGCATGTTCTGAAGCATTTTGTTAAAACATCAGAAGAGATCCGCAAATGTACAAAATCTGGAGTTCAATGACATGAACAAGAATTGATTTACAGCATGAGTTTGTGTAATGGCATTATAGATGTGAGTCTTCAGAGGCAAAAAAATTATGTAGCCATTGTTACTTGATGGGACAGATCATCATAGTAAATGCAGTTCAGCTCAGTTTTTGCAGTGAAATGATCAGATATGGGCTATATTTTGCAAAGACACGGGTGTTCTTGAAAATATTCATAGGTAGCACCAACTCCTGGTGGGAGAACTCATAGGTGTTTTTAGAGTCTTATCTGAGCCTAATCTTTGCATATCTGTCAAAACTTCACAACACTATCCTGTCGCATATGAATGCCCATTTTTCAGCCACAGTGAGACATGCTGGACACTTTTGCCAGAGCTAAAAGGTACTCAGTGGTGGAGTTAGTAATTTAATACAGGAGCTCTAACTAGTAGTGACCTGCTGCTTGGGAAGCTCTTATAAGACCTTGCTCCTCCAAGGCCGATCTCTGGCCAGTGACTTCTGTATCCCATGCAAACTTCCTCTAAATTCTGACTTTCAGGTCTTACGCCATAGCCACTGATCAATCCTTAGCTGATTGGGAACCACATTTGGGAAGTTCATTTCTAAACCTTTTGTTCTAATCACATTGAAAATATGCTGAAGGTTCACCAGCCCTCAACCCTCCAAACCCCACATTAAGCTTCTTGTCTTTACAAGGTTCTGATTGAAAAACAGGCCCAGGCTCACCCATTTCTCCCAGAAACTCCTGGAAAAGGCATCTATTGATGAATTTATGGTTGAGTTAGTTTTAGGCACAGCTTCTCAGTTGGCTTCCATGAGAGTGGGCAATTGTGCTTTTTGAGAGGCAGTGGTACGTGAAAACACTTCGAAAAGCTTTGTGTTTTCATTGCAAATATATTCATAAGGGTTCAGTATGCCCACAAAGAATTTACAGTCTAACACAGGTATAGGCCAGTAGGCAATGCTTTCCAATGGAGAAAGGAATGTGCTGGGAGTTAGAAGGCCTGGTAGTTGTTGTAGCATGGAGGGACATTAACTTCATTTCCATACCTAACGGTTTCCTTTGCTGGCAGCAGGAGCATGATGGAATCAGTCTGCAGGTGCCATCTGGAATCTCAGAGCCCATCTCAAAGTGTGGTGACCTGGATGTCCTCTTTGAGTACAGATCTGTGACACGGAAGCTCACAGTAACGATTGTGAGAGCACAGGGTCTGCCAGATAAGGACCGAAGTGGTGTAAACTCCTGGCAAGTTCATGTAGTACTACTGCCTGGTAAGAAACAGAGGAGCAGGACACGCGTGCAACGAGGGCCCAACCCCATCTTCGAGGAGAAGGTCATTTTCACCAAGCTAGAACCCCAAGATTTGGCTGGCTGTGCTGTGCGCTTCCGCCTGTACGCTGCCCGCAAGATGACCCAAGAGAGAATGATGGGAGAGAAATTATTCCATCTTAGCCACCTGCACCTCACTGAAGGGGAAATGAAAGTGACTCTGGTTCTGGAGCCAAGAAGTAATACAAGTGTGAGTATGTTAAATGGCACTGTTAATGAAACCGTGTGTTCAAAGACCTGAGATTGTCAACCCTTGATTTAGTACTTTCAGCCTGTGAATTCAGAAACCTTAATTTAGTTTTCCATTTGGCTCTCCTCATCTTGATAAGTCATGCTTTGTGCTTCATGGTCAATGGGTATTTCATACCTATCTCTCTGGTAATGTAATAGATGGATTCCCCGTACACTGTAGAAAATGACAGCAGTTGGTTCAGGGCATGCAACACCCGGAAAGGTCGCTGCACAACTGCTTCATTGCAAAGGGGTGCTACTCCTTTCACCCCTGTTATGCATTGTGATGAATCCCTGAGATTCGATTCTCATGGCAAAGTCCCTAAGAGCAGGTCAGAGTAGGCTCCAAGAACAGCCATGAACCCCAGCCACTTCTGAGACTTCAATATAACTGCAACCTCCCACTTTTACCAAATACCCCACTCTTTTGGCTGCTCCAAATGCTTTCAAAGAAAGACAATAAGCTTTTACATCTGCAAGATGATCTGTGTACTATGTTCTGTGGGTTGTATGTCATAGTGTGAGAGTCTGCTTTTTAGAAACCATATAAAAAAACCAGGTTATCTGGAGTTATTGGGGCAGTATTTTTGTTTGTTTGTTTTATCCAAGAGACTTACTGTCAAGTACTGTGTGGGTGATGCACATGAATGAGAAAACTAAGTAGGTGATTTCATAGCCCACGGGGAGTTTACATTCAACTAGAGGAGCTCAGTGGGATGTCAGCAAAAAAGAGATTTAGACTGCTGTCTATGTAGAGCTTCAAACAAGGTTTCTTTGAGGTGGTGAAAGAATCCAAGAAAGCCATGACACAGGATTGGTGGTAAGTAGTGGACAAGGATTCCAGGAGAGGGACTGGCACCTGCAGGTGTTTGGAGTTGAGGAGAGGCTTGCGTAGGTTTGAAGAAGACAAGGAAGTCAGAAAGGTTGGAGGGGAGTAGATCCATTCACTCGAATTTCTGATGTTTTCCCCAAATTACCCTCTCCCAGTTTGAAATCCCTAGTTTTGCCTGCCTTCATCCATCCTGGCTACCACTTTCCCATCTTTGTCTAGAGGAGCATCAGCTCATTCCAGTCATCATTGGTGGCATCTCTTCTGTACACCTTTAATCATTTTAGCTATGTCTTCAGGTACAACCAGAACCTTGATTTCTTCTTGAAGTGATTTCCTGCTTGTGGTCTCTGTGCTTCTGTGTTTGCTCCTTGCATATTTATCTCTAGCATGGATTCCTGAACAAGCTCTGTAAAGCGTCAGGCGGATGATGCGCTGCCTCTGTCCAAATCCTCATCTGTTCTTGAAACTTTAAGTGCATCTGAAATCATGAAATACAGAAAATCGAAGTCATAAGGGGCGCTGCTCTGCACAGCACAAGAATAGGCATAAGCTGCTTCAGAAAGATCACTAAAAAAATGTCATTAAAACATCTGTTTGTTTTAGTGCAGTAAGTTTTGAAAACCACACATATGAGGACTTTTCTAAAAGTTCAGTGAAAACATGTATCATGAAAAAACTTTGTATGGGTTTTAATATTTTTTCCTCTGAAAAAAATTTTACTTGTATTTTTCATCAACTCTTTCAAGTCCTCTCATATGATCAAAATGATATTTCTCTGCACCAAGCCCTTTACCACGTGCTCAATACAAAGAAGTGAATTGGGGAAACAAGCCAGTGTGGAACAGCTTTGAAGGTGAAGGTTCTTGCATTCATCCGTTACTTTTTCACCATGCCAGGGATTAGGCTATGTATCATGGTTGGAGGGTCCTATAAACCACAATCCCTGGGGACTGGGAGATTCTTGTGGACTCGGATGGACCTGTGGACTTGATGGGAGAGGCAGGCAATGCAGTGGCAGGTACCTCTGTAGAAGTACAGCGGTGGGCCTGGCCCTCCCCTGATGTGAACAAACGTTTCATTGCCAGATTTCCATCTTCTGAGTCGCAGGGGTTGTGAGGCACCTCTCAGAACCTCCTAGGCCTGTTTACCAGTTATATTCCACAAAAGGCCAGGGCTCTCTAAAGACGCACAGGGTTTTATAAAGGAACACCTTCTCCCACAAGTATAGGGCATCCACTTCCCTTCCTTGGTTTGATTTATTGGGTTCCTTATAAGAGATCTGAGGAAATGGTTTCAGATGTTAATCAGAATGATTTAATCGAGGTTCAGTGCAGTTGTTGCTGGTGGGGGAGATGGTATTACAGGGACACAGGCTGGCCTGCTCTAGTCTGATGCCCGCTCTGACTTCTCAAGGGGAATCAGGGTCCCCCATGCTTTTTTTTCCCTTCCATTTGCTTGGTGTATAAAGATGAGTGCTTAGGCAAAGCATGCATGTGAATCACCGTGACAGCTTGGGCTCTAACCTGGCTCCTGTTACTCACTAAGATTAAAAATCCATGTTGATCTCTTTATTAAGGAGCTGAAAAAAAGTGTTCATGTTCAGTCGGAGTCTTTTTTTTGTTTGTTTGTTTGCAGGGAGGGAGGTAAAGTGTATGATCCAACAAAATAACCTTAAACAGCAAATTAGGAGCCAAATATTCCATGTGCTGGTGGGTGCCTAGTGGTTCACCCTTTTGATAGTTAAAACAAAGTGCCCCTGTGTAGCCACATTCATCAGGAAGAAAACAGAAACGAGAAAACAGGCAAGTCTCCGATCTGAGTTCCTAGAAATGCGCCAGCCCAAATTACACAGGAGGGAATCTTGGTCTCTATTAAAGGTATTATTAGCTCTCCATGTATCTTTAAAGGTTTGACTTACACCAGTAATAATATTTTTGTCCGTTTTGTCTTTATAGAGGAAATACTGATTGGAGATAGCTCTATGAGGAAAAATGGGAGTCTCATCTGACGGTGTTCCCTGGGCCCTTTGTAGTGCATGCTGAGAGCACCCACAGCCATGCTTGGCAGTCAGTGAAGTTCGGTCACAATTTCAACAAACATAATATCGGCTTTCTCTAAAATCAAGTAGTGCAGTGTGGCCAATGAGTTCTTTGTTGTTCTTCCCTTCCAGGGTCGAGCAACTCTGCTCAGCCCATCTGCCGTTTCTCACAGTGATAGTGCTTCATCCACGCAGTCGCTGGCTCATGGAGGGGTGCCAGAGCTACTGGTGGGGCTGTCCTACAGCGCCACAACGGGGCGATTATCTGTGGAAATGATCAAAGGCAGCCATTTCCGAAACCTCGCTGTTCACCGGGCGCCTGGTAAGTGTCTGCCCGCTCCCTCTCCAAGCCCTTGCAGAAGCCAGTAGAAGCTGTGACTGCTTTCGCCTGAATTCTTCATTTCTTACTGTAAAAATGATCTTGGTATGCCTTGGGCAAATGCTTACAAAGTGACACCTCTGGGTTCCTTAATGGTTTCCAGTTTAATTAAATTGAACACTGCTTTGATATCCAGCTGCATCTCGACACAGAATAGACTAGCCAATGTGTCTGTATTGTTTAAGGGGAAATTAAGGCATCTTTCCAACATAATGTGTATGGACATTTAAGATCTGTTAATATACCTCAGGCTCTCAACTGTGAAGGGCGAGTTCCACTTTGGAATGAAGCAGTAGGTTATTAAAGTGTCGCCGTGTTTCTTACCCATGAACTGATTTTGTACAGTTTTTCCAGCTTTTCTAAATCCCAATGAACTCATCTGAAGAACAATAGATAATATTACCTACCTTCATGGTGTCATTTTTGGGCTTGACTAAAATGATGCTGGTGTCTAACACATGGTGAACTCACAAGCAATGTTAGTGACTATTATATGGATAGGGAAGTTGTTCAGAGGCAGATCTGAAGCAATGGCCAACTCACCAGGGAAGTCAACACTTCTACCATCACTGCTGGGAGAAGGAACTCAATACCCACCCCAACATTCTGCACACTGGATTCCAGACACATTGTCAAAAGCATGCTTTAGGTTGAACATTAGGATAATACCATCAAAGTTAGCTCACCATTTTTGAAATGATTTTGCTTGCATGCACAAAAACTTTAAAAAGGGCAAGAGGATGATTTGTACCTCAATTTTCACTCCTGAATCTCATAACTAAGCATCTAATCTGAGAAACCTTGTTTGTATGTGGAAATCTAGCTGCAAGAGAGTCAGAACAGTGTTGAATGGAGGGCAAATGATCCTGTCTACCATGGTGCCAAAGTCTTGTGGAAGGAAAGGCAAAGTCAATACAAGTATAACAGATGAAAGAGTCCATGAAATCTGGCCTCATGTTTCAATAGCCTGAGAACAGCCAGGTTCTGCAATTAATACCAAATCTAGGTTTCTCTCCCTCTCCCTCCCCCCTCTCTTTCTTGTCCTTAATTGTGCTGCATACCACAAAGCCTTCATTGTGTAGATATATCTCATCACTCATTATTCAAATTTTGTTAAAGCCAGTGGAGCAGGTGCATAAACAATTTCCTGTCAATAATAAGATCCAGGTGACAGCAATTCAGAATACAAAATAGATACTGATTATTAATTACACAATTATATTCTCTTTGCTACATATGGCTTTGTTTTCCAAAATCTGTCTGAATTTCTTAGAGATAGGAATGTATTTCCTCTTCAGAGCTTCTGCTAGTCTCTTTTCCTACTTTCCTGAGACTTGGTGATAGCTAACAACTTTTAGAAAGGTGGTGAAGAAACAGAGTGTGGGGATGCAACTCACCCAGGCATGGCCTATTCTGGTTCACGCTGGGGAGTTTTCCTCTGTGTGTTAGGTGGGGTCAGCCAGTGTAGAGAGAAGTATAGCAGGATAGTTGGGAAGAATATGTTGTCATCCATAAAAGCTCAGGTGTGAATTCAGGCTCTACGACTTAGTAGCTGTGAGTTACTAAACTGTTTTGAACCTTTGGTTTCCTCATGTGTAAGAGGGGAGTCATGACAACAACTACTTCACAGGTAGAAATAATACATATATAGGGCTATGATGGGGATGATGGGATGATTTTCATAAATACCTGCATGTTAAACTAAGATGCCAAAAAGGAAATTCTTATAATGAATACTTAGAATTGAAGAGGAAGCAAAAGGCAAGTGCTAATTTGCAACATGATTTTTTCCAGGGATTTAAGATAGTGTGGCATTTAGGACAGGATTTGCCATCAACATAGCGTTGCATGTAGCATGAATGGAACTTGCATACTGTATTTTTGCCACCAAAGTAAGAGAAAACAATGCTGCCATGAAGTTATTAATTATAATACAAGCCCAATAGTGATGGCAAAAAGTTTTTTGTGTGTGTCTGTACAATGGCGGTGCTTGAGGAAAAGCCAGTTTAATTAGGAGGGGTAATAAAGTCAAAGGATCTTTTGTGGGGATTCTGAAAGGGACCTCTTGGTACTTTTAGGGCTTAAGATATTTTCAGCTTCAGTTCTTCATAATATCTTACTTCATTATGGCAATAACAGTACTCTGACAGTTGTCCGGTTTTAAGTTCCCATGTGGAAGAGTCAGAGAAAGCAAGAGTTTTATGAACCAATTTGGGCAAAATGGAAGAATGAGAGGAAGAAGGAAGGCTATGAATGGAGCTGTGAGTGGGTTATGGTGGGGAAGCATGCCAAAGGCACTATTAGATACCTTATAATGGAAGCTGTTGATGCAGCTCTCTGCATCAGAGTTTCCAGGGAGAACTGCCTGTGAGGGCAAGTATAAGGAATTTGAAGGTATTTCAAAGGATCACGAAAGGTAGAATTAAAGGTTAAGCTTATTTTGATATAAAAGAACCTTGAAAACTTTGAATACAAGAAGTCAAAAAGTTCATGGACATGCACAATGTAAAAAAAAAATCACATCGATTTCAAAATGTTTTTCAGTAAAAATAACCTCTTTTTAAAATTTAGCTTTATGTGCTTGAAAGGTGTAGAGAGAAACAGAAAGACAGTTAGGGCAAGGGCTATCTTCCGTGTTCATTGGTTGACTCCCCAAATGCCCAGCCATGTAGGTTAAGCCAAGATGAAGCCAGGAATATGAAACTAATTCTACATTTCTCAGTCTGGGGTTCAGGAACCCAAATACTTGATCTATCAACTGCTGCTTCCATGGGTGTGCATTACCAGGAAGCTGAGATTCGAAGTAAAATCCGAACTCAAACCCATGTTCTCTTATATAGGGTGTGGGCATTCAAACTGGCATCTTAACCAGTATGTCAAGTATCTGCCTATCTTTTCAATTCCGTTTTCACAAGCAATTTGAATTCCCCTGTGTAAGCAAAGGTCACATAACCTGTGCTTGCGACTCTTAGCTCAGGTGCAGTAACTTCCTTGGTGAAATGGGAATATCATTCCTGCCTTCTGGTGTGGCTGTATTCCTGCGAATAATGGTTTTTGGGAAGTCCAGAATGCCAAGTCCTTGGGCCTCTATGTTGGAAACTTGTTTCCTCTAGAATATTGTTAAAGTTTGATCTCTTACTGGTGAGAATCTTTTGCTTCCAAGTTCATGATGGAATACAATTTTGGATTCATCTGCTTGACATAGGAGTGTTTGATTCTCATACTTAAGATTTTCCTACTAGGCAAGAATGTAGACTTATACAAATAATAGATGGAGTTCCTTTGTTTTAGGGTCTTACAAGAAGTAATCCAATAAGACATATTGGACTAGCCCAAAATTACCCACTGCCCAAAATTAATTCTGTGCCAAAATTGTTGGCAGATAGGGTTCCACGAGGCAAGGATAATTTGGTGGACAGGAATTAGTGGGAGCAATTGTAGACATTAGCGTGTTCTCCAGCACCCATTGGCATCTCCACTGCACAACCCTGGCATGACCATGTCAAAAACGCTGTGCTGCATGGTGGTGATGATACAGAGAAGGCATTCTTGGCAGAAGTGTAAAGTGTAGCACCCACTTTGGAAAAAGACCCGAAACTTTCTTTTACAGCTACATGCACTGAGAATCCAGCTGTTCTGTTCTTTGGCATTAAGCATAGTTAAAAGAAAAACTGAACCTACAGGAAAATAATTTCTATCAGCTTAATTCATAATGGTAGAACCTGGGTAAAAACTGTTTGTAACAGAATGAATAAATATATATTTATGTAATATAATATTATTCAGCAAAAAATAATAAATGCAGGCATTCAACCACAAAAAGGAAACTAAAAAACTGATTACCTACTGTGTTATTCCAATGATAGGAAGTTCTACACTTAGCAGAACTCAGCTGTATAAGAAAAAGAGCAGATGGGTGTTTGTTCCATAAATGGTATTGGTGCCAAGATATACTGGGTGGGGAAGGAGGGACTGCTCTGCCTGTGGTGGAAATGTTCTTTGTGTAGAAAGGGATGTGGATTAAATGGATGTATGTGTTTATCAAATATAACTAAATGGTATTAAATATTGAACACTCACTGCATGTAAATTCTACCTTTTAAAAAGTCATAAAGTAATTAACTCTAGTTGGCAAAATGCGTGCTGACATGCATAGGAATGAAGAGTAAAGATGACTACAACTAAAATGGACTGATGGGTGAATAGCATGGATAGGTGAACAAGTGAATAGAGCAAAATAAAAACAATTTAAGAATTGAGCTGGTCACTCTATGGGCCTTTATTTCAGTCTTTTAATTATAAAACAGGGAAGCAAGGTAATCTAGTTTGTAATAGATCATCTCGATGAAATGAGTAAAAAAAAAAAAACACAATCTTTAACATCTGTGGTTGGCAATACAATTTTCGTAAATACCCATGCATGTTTTCCTGGCCTTATTTTAGACAGAGTATGTAGGATAGATACCAGGCAGCTGGGCCTGTATTTTTCTATATTGTTCTTCATTAACTGCATTCACTCAAGGAAAAGATATTGTCTGGACAGTTTCATTTCAAACTGTGACTATTTCTCTAATCATCTGACGTACACAGTTGCATAGTTTGTTTTTATTGTAAATATTATAATTATAAACACTATATAAACGATATACCTTAGCACTTGTTAAAATGGTTTGATATTAGTTTGTGTGTTCCCTGGCAGGTCATTATACTAAAGGTCCCCAAAGTCTTGTTAATGGGTTAATGAAGAAAGAGTGGGAATTGAATCCAGTTCTGGTATCTGAAGGTGAGGGCTTTGGGAGGAGATTAGATTCCGTGAGGTTGCTGGGGTGGAACCTGGTGATGCAGCCATGAGAGCTCTCTAAACAGAGCCTACTTGGACACAGATGTATGTGCTCCCTCTCTCTGCTTCCTCGCACCATCCTCATCACGCACAGATGAACCAC